ATATTAATTATTATTGGATTATATTTATTAGTATTTCTATTGAATAGTTATTTTTAGATAGTTATTATTTTATTGGATAATTATATGTTAGAAATTATTGGTTCTTAAGTTTGTATTAACACCAGCAACAATAGCAATGACAGCAATAATGACAACGACATCAACACTCATGTTAACACCAGAAACGCCGATAACACTCGTGTTTAATTAATTTAACGACAACAATAATAGAATCAGTTATATCGTATAACATATAATTTATATAAATATACCATGTATCTTAGCTTAGAATAATAATTAAGTCAGAAAGTGAATCAAGTCAAATAGTTAATCAAGTTGGAAAAAAAATCAAGTTAGATAGTTAATCAGTTTCTTGTTTGATAGAAACTTTTGAATAACTTATAAAGTTATATTTGTATTGGTTTTTGGTCTTGAAAAATAGATCGCTTATAATAAACCATTGTTATTGACTTGAAAGACAGTCACTTGATAAAACTTATTGTTTGTATTATTACCTTTGAAATTCTAAATAATATACAAAACTTAGTGAAGTTATTGGACGTCATTCTAGCTCGTCACAACAAAAACACACGTTACCTACCTTTAGTAATAAATCTTAGTCTCTCCCATTATAAAGACTTAATCTTTTTCACCTTTATTTTAATAAAACACATGATTAATACATCAAGAACTTAATATCAATAAAAATGATAACAATATCTTAGCTAAATAAAATATAAAATAATTTTAAAATAGTCTTTGATAGCTTTTGATTAACTAAATATTAATAAAGTTTTTTTGCTTTTATCTTTTAATAAATATAATAGCTAACATATTATATATTTGTCAGAAAAATTAATTACTTTGTATTTTTTCTTCTTGATTAATAATAAAAATTCTTAATAAAGTAATAATTAAATAATAAAGAACTTAGTATATTATTTTTTATAAATTCTTTAAGAATACTTTAAATTCTTGATGAATTCATGTTTTTAATAAACTTACTAGATTTTTAGTAAATTTTTTAACACTTTAACTAATATATAATAATATTAAAAAATTATTTTATATTTTGCTCACTCCTTTATACTTTTTCATGTGATCACAGTCATTATCTACTATATAGTAAAAATTTTTATTTATAAAGATTATTAATAATAATAATATATAATAGATATTAAATAAATATAGAAAATAATAAATATATCAAAAAAATTATATAATTAATATATTAAATTTAAGATAAAAACAAAAAAATAAGAAATATCAAAAAAAAAGAAATAAAATGAAAGAAATAACAAGAAGATTATTGACTAATAATGAAATTAAATATATAATTAAAATGTTATTATAATTAATTTTGTTTTTACTATATTGCTTAATATTTAATTTATTTTATATAAAAATAATAATAATTATTATTATTTTTTATAATTATAAAAAAGTAAACTTAGAAATTAATAAATTATCAAAGACTAAAGATAAAATTTTTTCCAAAATTACTTATTTTTAGCTTATAAATAACTCTATTTTTTTAATAATTATTAAAAAATAAAATAATTATTATATATTAAAATTAATATAGTGCCAAAAATCTATATTCATCAATTACATAATAAAAAATAAGAATTTTTAAAATACTACTCTACTTTACAGAAATAATTTCAAAAAAAATAAATTGATAACTTTATAATTCGAAATACATTCTATAAAGTTAATCAATTTATTTTTTCGAAATTATTTCTGTGTAAAATAGAATAATGTTTCAAAGATTCTTATTTTTTATCACGTGATTGATGATTATAGATTTCCGGCACCATATTAAAAAAAATTTAAATATTTTAATTTTTGATAAAATTAAATTAGATATAAATTTATAGAATTTTAGCATACAAATTTGTATACTAGTTCTGATGGTTTAAAAAATAATATAATTGTAACTAATAGAAATAAAAGTATTATAAAAATTTATTATATAACTAAAATAAATTAAAATTTATTAATATCAACTATTTTATATTAATTTGTAAATTTAATTATAATTTACAATATTATTTAAAATCTTTTGGAATATTTACTTGAATTTAAACTGGATTTTTAATTAGATTTGAGTCTGGATCAAAGTTTAAATAGAACTTGAACCAGACTTTGATTATATTCAAATTTTTTAAATCAAACTTTTAGATCAAATCAAGCTCAAACCAAATCAAACTTGAACTGAACCAGACTTTTTTCAGAATTCTAATCAAAACACGTCTTATTACATTGTTATTACTAAATATATTTTTTTAATAAACTTGAATCTTTGATATTTATTCAAAAATTTAATATATTTCTATTGTATTTCAAAAGTATTAGCGTTAGAACAAAAATACATGTTTTATTTAAAATTAAAAATAATAATAAAAAATTCTTCAATTTAATGAAACTTTTTAAAAAAAACTTACACCTAAAGTGATTGCTAATTGATATAGTTTCTAATGCAATATTTTCAGCTGAATATTGTTGACATAGTAAAATTTTGCGTAATCACCAGTTAAACTAATAAATCTACATTAAAATTCTGTGCAAATCAGAATATGTATTATGACCCTTAAATATTATAAACACATTTTTCACACCAGCTTTTTTAAATACTAATAGATGGACATCAAAGTCCCCGGGTTAAACCGATTTAATCGAGTGCCCTCGGGACTGTATTAACACCAAATCCTGTATTTACCCACCGTCGTATATATCAACAAAATAGCCCGGTCCCATGATGTTGATAACAACGGGTGACGATTGCATAAATAAGGATAAAAGTAATGACAAGATAACAATCAATGGAATCAACCATTAAATCAGGAATGCTACAGGAAATAACAATAATCACGACTTAAGATCAACACGCATATTTAAGAAATTGTCAATTGTTCATTGCGTTTCTTGTCAAAATGCAGTTCCTAAGTAATCAAAAATTTGTGAATCCCTCATTCTGCATGTCAGCAGCTGTGCGATCTTGGTGCCGGCATAAAAAAGGTAAGTTTATAGATATGGGATGCGGAATGCGGAATCAAAAATTGAGTATTTAAGAAACGCGTGGTTTCGCCTCGTTTGCTAAAAGTTCTCTTATGTTTATGAATAATATCTTCTTAAATAGCAAGTTCGAATAGAATCTATTAAATAATTAATCAAATCGAAATAATAAAAAAATCAACAAATGCCAAAGATTAAATCTGGTAAAAGAGAAAACACTGCTACTGTGGCTCACCACCCACATCCAATTCTTCCGGCTCTCGCGTCTGAGACCACAACTACAATGACGACCACGACAACATCCATTTTCACGATCACTTCAGAGCAACAAACAACTATTGACCAAACGCTCAGCATCAATCAAGAAACCATGTCTGAACACGACTTAAAAATGTTACGCGATCCTCCGTATAAATTAACGCTTTCTATAGATGAGCTTCTTGCACCCGCCAAAAAAACGCGTAAAAATAAAAGACCAAAAGATTCGAATAGTCTAGAGAAACCACCTCGACCACAAAACGGATGGGTTATCTTTCGTAAAGATTACGAGGCAAAATTGCGCCTACTTAATCCCAATGCTACTTATAAAATCCAAGATATTTCTAAAGAATGCGGCGTTGAATGGAGATCGCAGCCTAGTGAAGTCAAGAAATACTTTGATCTGCTACAAAGAATCGCGTTCGAAAAACATAAAATCATGTATCCCAATTATAAATATAGTCCAAAAAAAAAAGAATCTAAATGCAAACAATTTGTATTTCGTGAACAGAAAAAATTTTCTGATGAAGATAACGATGAGTTTTATGAAGATGACGAAGATGATGATTATGATGAAGATGACGAGAACAATAACAGCAGCAACAACAATTGTGTAGTTTCGGTTCCTTCTTCTATCAACGTTTCCTCATCCTCTTCTTCTACTTCGACCACAATGAACTCGCCGGCCGAGTCTAGCGCTATTTTTGATTTCAATTTACCGCAACCATCTCAATATACTCCAATTGAGGCGTCGTTTGCCAGACAATTGCATTTTCATTCAAATGAATTTATGCCTTCTACAACTGCATCTTCTCTTACTCAACATCAAATCTCTATGCCAGAAGATTTATCCATATATTTTGATACATTAGCAGCATCCTTATCTTCAAATGAATTAAATTCCGACTACAATACTTTCGTTGATGGACTTGGAATTACCACCACCCACAATAATGATCTTCAAGACTTTACTTTCGACTCTCTTACTCCTTCGATTTCACCTAATTATACAATCAATGAAGATGCTACATCGGTCGATACATTTAACGAGATCATCTCGTTGGATCAATTAGATTTTTTCCAAACAAACAGTAATAATAATAATCAAATTCCTATTTTTAATGAATTCGATAGTAATAATCCATTGAATTGTGCTGAAAATAATAATTATCTGTTCGCTGAAACTAATAGCAAAGAAATAATCGATAATAATATTGATATAACTCCGATAGACGAATTCGTTTTTGCAGATCCAAATGAATCTTTTGAATCAAATATCAATGATAATAATAATACTACTCAGATTAACAATAACTTAAACTCTTCACCACCAAATCCATTTACAATTATCACGACAACTACGAATACTCTAACTACCACCACCAACACTTCAATCGTTCCCACTACCTCGTTCATTTCTTCACCACCACCACAATCTCTATTCATCCCCGAATATCTTAATTACGATTCTACATTTTCGGCTGGAGATTTGTCGAAAATTATGTTCGACGATTTGCCATTTGACGAATTTGCTTAGTTTATCGTTTTTGTGAAATTTCATTTTGGTTTTCATATTTTAATTTTTTCATAGTCGTTTATGATACCTTATGTACTTTCTCATTTCTAAGATTACATTATCACCCTTTTTTTATACGTCAAACACAAGCTCAGAAAAATATTAAGAATAATACTTTAATGCACCATTTCTTCACAATTATATAAGAATTTTAAAGAAATTATAATTATGCTCTTTCGCAGGAATTACTCGATTAAATATGTATAACATAAATCAAAACGACAATAATAATTCATTAAGTACATGTAGTTTTTAAGATATTATTTTGTTATTCATTTTTTCAGCTCAATTTTTTCTTGTTCAACTATGGCTTATTTCTTTCGACTTACTATTTGTTTAAACTATTTATTTATCGTTATTCTCGAATCATTAATTTATACATAATTTTACTTAAATTCGTGTATTTGGGTTAGATCAGGAAATCACTGCACAAAAATAAACCAATACTTTGATTTCTACGCAGTGCAACAATAAATAATGGTTTACAAACTGATGGATCTGATTATTCACGTGCTTACATTTAGTTAAATTGGCAATGCAGTATTGTTAATTATCGTTATCAGATTTTGGTTTCCTTTTAAGAAACAAATATCGATATGTAATTAACAAATTTAGTATTAAATCTAATTATTAAAATCCTACTTTCTGCCTATTAACACGATCAACAACACCCACAAACACAACCACTAACGTCATCACCCACACATACAAATAATCGAATTCGCGTTTGGTGCGACCGACCTGCGTACCGGTAAACATTGTCACCCAGGCCAACACCAGGAAAATGTAGCCGATTATTCGATGATACTTGTACAGTTTTTTGGCACGCAATGCCGACCCGAATACCAGACGAGGACAGGTTGTGATTGCTAGACCGAATATTAGCTGTGCGAATATTAGCAGGAATAGGGATAGTCCGAATATTGCGTGCCACGATTGGACTTTTGGATGATATATGATAATGATGATGTTATGTAGCTGTAAAATAAAGTACTATAAAAAAGATAAAAATACTTTACGGTGTCGTTTATTATGAATTGATTTGTTGTATACTGCTATTGCAAATCCAAATATTCCGAGGATAGTTGATATATACTGTAGAATTTGATGGTAATCTAATCCTCGTTTCTTTTCTTTTGGTTTTTGTGTTCTTTGCAAGACCAAAATACCTTTAATTCATTTATTTCACATGAAATTATAAATTATAAAGTATATTATTATATTATTATATTATTATATTATTATATTATTATATTATTATATTATTATATTATTATATTAGTATATTATTATATTATTAGAAAATACGCAGTATAATCATAATTTCATACATACCTTGAGTCAATAAAAATACGCTAGCAGACATCGAAATGGGATGCCACATAAACAACATGTAATCCCCTTTGAGGTTCACATACCAAACGATACTAATGAACAACAACGAGCCCAGTGTCGCAAGCCAATACGCGATAAAATCAAAGCAAAAGTTTGTTTGTCCTATTGGTGGTTTCATTTTTCCTTTGCTTTTTTTGTTATCGTTGTTGTTACGGCTTGTTTTGTTGTTGTTGGGGTGGTCTGTATTGGAGATGCTGATCGTACATGCGGTTGTGGGTTCTTCTTGTTGAATGAGTGGTGTGGTTTCTAATGTTGTAGTTTCTAGCGGTGTGGTTTCTAGTGGTGGTGGTGTTGTTGTTTCTGTGGCTTTCATTTTTATTGTAGTAATAACATTAATATTTGAAAGACTTGCTTTCAAATAGATGCGCTATTTTATTATTTCTTTTATAAAAGTAAGAAATAATAAAACGAAAAATCTGATAATATATTAGATATAAAGTCCGACTGATACATTTATATATTTGCATCCAAACACTAAATGAACACAGCCTTATTTTTTCATTTACATTGTATCACTGCACTTGTCAGATTAAACAAAAAAGTTCATGCATACATACCTAAAAGCAAAAAAAAAGGAAAAATGAACTAAGAAACTGTTTCATTTAAATAAATAATTATCTGATAAAGCTTGGTGACGCAAAAAATCTGATAACTTTTATCAAATGAAAAATCTGATAACTCTGCATATTGTTTGATGTGCATCATAATTACATATTTATTTATGATATTATCCCGATACTTCCGACAGAATAATTATATAAAAAAAAATACATTTCTTTGTGTTGTGTTTCTTGAATATTATAGAAAGTTTTATTTGTTAATTTATCCTACAATTCGTTCTTTTCACCTTTTTATTGTACGAGTTAATTGCAAAATCAGAGATTGACAAGAAAACAGCGTAAAAGCTTTCCCCTACTTCTCTTTTTGACACAATTAGAAAAAAACTGCCATCAATCACAAAATTCATCTCCGAGAAAACTCGATTTTTATATGAACTTTAAACGTAAAAAATACATCATTTAATAGTTTTTGATAAGTACTGCATGTATCTAGTAATGTATTTATCTTAGTTTTTATTGAGAAGATACAATTTTAAATAATGTATTTTTTAAAAATTTCAGCATTAATATAACACTTACAAATCTGACTAATCATATTCAATTTTATAAGTAATTAAGCATGTTAAGTTAGATTTCTCGAGAAAATATCTATCGTTATACGTTAAGGTTTTTACCGTTCTCGAATTGTGTCATCCAGTATTCTCATTGGATTCATCATGAAATTTTGCTAGTATTTCTCTCTTCGCACACAAAATTTTTATAATAATGTATCATAAGGGGCTCAACCGGGAATTGAACCCGGGACCTCTCCGACCCGAACGGAGAATCATACTACTAGACCATTGAGCCATGATATTTAGGTTGATATTACTTTTTATTGTTATATAAGATTTCCTTTGATAAATAGTTACACAAGTTCCAAGAAACAAACGAAAAAAAGAAAAATTCCAGGTTGTTGGACCTGCCCCCGAATAAGGGATGCTCTCATCCTGCACTCAAAAGAGGCACAATGCAGGGGGTATCAAAGGAAATGTTTCACCATTTTTTCATGCTGATGATGATGACATTAATAAATAAACCTAAATTAAGTCAAGGAAAGTAATTAATTATTTTCTTTGGTAAAATTTGCGTGTAGGGGTTTTTTTAATTTTTAAAGACTTTACGTGTTTATATCTATCTATATATACTTATATATTACTTTGAAAGGGGAGGGAGAAGCGTAGAGAGAAGTTCTTTGTGTTTTAACGAACTTTTTTCAGATTTTTTTTTAGTTGTCGTTACTTGAACGAACTTTTACTTGTATAATAATAATCTAAGAAACAATGGACACAAAAGACACTAACCAAGAAGTATTGTCAGAGACAACGGAAAAAATGGATACAAAAAAAGACATTAACCAAGAAATATTGCCCAAGACAAAAGAATCAATGGACATAAAAAAAGACATTAACCAAGAAAGATTGACCAAGACGGCAGAAACAACAGAGAACGAAATGGATAATAACAATAACGATGTTAATCGCAATAGTACCAGGAATAGCAATAAACCACATCGACCGTACTCTCAGAGGACAGCAGAAGCAACAGAGAACGGCAATAATGCTAGTGATAGTAACAATAGTAATAAAAATAGCAATAAACCACATCGACCTCTAAGTATACATCGGCCGCACTCTCACAGGACAGCAGAAAAAACAAAGAGCAACAAGAATAGTGAAATGGATAATGCCATTGATAATAACAATAACAATAACGATGTTAATCGCAATAGCACTAGAAATAGTAATAAACCATATCGACCTCTAAGTATACATCGACCGCACTCTCATAATCCAGCGCCAGTAGGCAGCCCATGGGGTCGTCACGACCAAGAAATACCTTATAATGGCGGCGGCAGCAGCAACAACAACAGCAACGTAAATATTAATCATGATGGATCTTATGATTATCGTTCACCATATGGGCGACGTCACACTTATGGCCGTTATGAACATGATAGGCCATTGGGAGGTGATGAAACGAGAGGTCATCAAAATGCCCGAGTATCTTATGGGGGCAAATACCAAGGATATTATGATTATTATGGAGGAGCAGGAGGTGGGGCTGGTTATGGCTATGACCATGGTTATGGAGGATATAATAGTGATAATCAATATTATAACAGTAGTGGTTATAAGTATAATTATAATTATAATAGTAATCAATATTACAACTATAATAATAACAGAGATGACCAATATTACGAAAATCGGAGTCAATCACGATATTCACATAAACGTCGCTCGAAATCTTCCAGCTATATTGATTCTTATCTAGCAGATGAACATCATGAGAAACACCAATCACAACATCAACTAGTGAAACACCAATCACAACATCTACAAGAGAAACACCAATCACATCAACAACGACCAGAGAAACAGGAAGAAAAATCAGAGAAACCACCAACTCCGGAGTTCATCACTACCACTAGCACAGAAATTACAGTCACCCCAGCAGTTACCCCATCAACTGAGCCCGAAACAACAGATCCAGCAAACTTAAATGAAACCAAAAATACAAAAGTCGCGCCACCAATTATTAAGGCATTTCACACTGGAAAACCGAATGGCAAGAGATTGTTGTTACGGTTTATGCAGTTTCTTTCGAGTGCTGGTGCGTTTGGCTTTATTGTGGGTGCTCCGATTGTATGTATCTTTTTATTTATTTCTACTTTTTTGAGAATATATATTTTATTACCCTTTCTCTAAATTTCAAATCGTTTCTCTTAGTATTCTGGGGAAACCATACCTTTCACTGATAAATTTGCAGTTATTTGTCTTTATGGACTATCAATAATTTCTACACTAGTATCGCTGTATACTCTAGTAATATATTGTATTCGACGTTTTAAACATGGGGAGAAACTTAAACGATGGCTATTGCTAGTGGTAGATATGATATTTGCGTTAATGTGGGGTGCGGATGTGATGATATTAATTGGAACGAATCGTTGCACTCCTGGTGATCATAATCATTGGTGAGTGAATTTAATTTTAACAAACAATTAATTATTTATTGATTTATTTATTGATTTGATTTGATTTTTTTGCAGGTGTGATTTCTTTAATGCCAGCATATTTTTCTCATGTGCCGCTTTCGCGTCATATTTATGCGCTTTTGTTTGGGACATCGTGGGACATTGTTCGAAAAAAGCCGCGGATTATGATATTTGATTATTATTATTACTATTATTATTATTCAATCGTTTTTTTGTAGATGTGTATAGTAGTACTATTGTTGAATTTTTATTTGGGTTAGGGTCATTAATTTTGGTGTATTGTTAGTATTCAGAAAGGAAGGTTAAAGAATATTTATTTTTTTTACTGCCACATTTATTTTGAGAACAATATTATTATTATAAACATTTTACGAATATTATTACTAGTATTATAAATAGAAGATAATCCTTATTTTAGTAGTCTAATATTTTATACACGTGTAATATGTTGCAATTATTTTATTTCCGATGTAACTTTTTTTGATGATTAAATTAAACCTGTTTTTTACTTTTCCTTCCCTAAAACAATTGAGTACAATAAAAGAACAAGTTTCACTGCATAAATTAAGTATTGCATGTTACGTAAATTATAAATTTTCTGATCTAACCGGTTTTGGTATTGCGTGTTACGTAAATTATAAATTTAAAGTAAGTTACAATTTTCAGATCTAACCGGTTTTGTAGTTGTTTTGAACTATTAATCGATCAGCATGTATCCTATTACATAATTGTCATGTATCATTAAATTCTGTGAAAACGCTAACCATTAAGAATAAATTTTTCTCGCACTACAATAATGAAGAGATGAGATTCAAGCTTTTTCATTCAAATATATGGCGTGTAAATATATGGCGTGTAAATATATGGCGTGTTTATATAATACGTCTTATAAATTATATAATGCGCCTTACAACTTATGTATTAGCTTTGTGGGTTTTTGATTGATATAAAATGAGGAAGATGAAGACATGAAAGAATTTTTTTACCTTGCATTATATTTTAATGATTTATGAAGTTGTATATTATACTTTAATGATTTATGAATTTGTATATTATTTTTTAATGATTTATGAATTTGTATATTATTTTTTAATGATTTATGAATTTGTTAGTTTGTACGATTAATTATCTATTTAATATATAAATATAATAAAAATGGCAACAACCACAATTACAATTCCACCAGCAGCAACGACAGAAAAACAAACAACCTTCTCACCCAAGCAAGAAACATCTGAGAAAGATTTATATGAAAAATCATGGGAGGAAAAATTGTCTTATATCTTTTCGATAAGATTCATATTAATCTTATTGCTTGGACAAATTCTTTCGTTCTGTATCACCGCGACATCTGTGACCACACAGAAACTCGCGATAGATTACGGAGCAAATTTTCCGACTACACAGAATTTGTTTAATTATATTCTGTTATGCGTTGTGTTTACGGGGATTACTATTTGGAAGTTGGGTTATCGAGGGTGGATTAATGTTATTTGTGTTAGAGGGTGGTATCTAATACAAATTTTCATCAAACATTAGATTTTTTATTAGCCTTAGTTGATGTAGAAGGAAACTACTTTGTAGTAAAAGCATACACATACACATACACAACAATCTTATCGGCAATGTTACTCGATGCATGGACAATTCCCGTAGTAGTTGCTTTAAAGTGCGATTTCATTTGTCACAATATTTAGGAATTTTGGTGTGTTTGACTAGAATGGGATTATTGGTGAGAGATGATTGGCTTCATGGACAGATTGACAGATATAGGTAAAAAAACATCAAATAAACGAAATTTTGATGTGTTTTTACTTTGTTTATAGTGGTAGATACGGGCGATCAAGTAAAAGGCGATCTTTTTTGTCTGCTTGGCGCAACATTTTATGTGCTGTCGAATGTCGGCGAAGAGTATCTCGTTAGACAGTTTCCATTGTGGGAAGTTGTTGGACAAATGGGATTCTGGGGGACTATTATTACCACTATGTTAAAGCTTATTTTTTCCTCTTTTTGTTAAAGTAGTTTTATTATTAGATCGATTTTGGAGCGTAAAGAGTTGCATGATAATAATTGGACCGGCGGAATGGGTAAATTTATTGTTTTATTTTTTTGTTACGTAAACGTATTAACTTTAATATTGATTCCGATATTAATAAATACAGTTGGCCTAATAATCGCATACTTGCTCGCAATGTTCGTCTTGTACATGCTCACGCCAGTGCTTTTCCGAAAATCTTCCGCGGCATTCTTCAACATCTCGTTGTTGACAAGTGACTTTTATACATTGTCGCTTGGATTGCGATTATTTGATTTAAAGGTAAGTATTTATTCTTTAAAAAATCTGCGTTTTTTATTGGGAATAAGTCTTTTAATTGGCCTTTTTTTGATCGAAAGATGTATCCATTATACCCACTCTGGTATTCCATGATAATTCTCGGCTGTGTTATTTATTACGTGTACCCAGCGACGCAACCTAAAATCAAAGATAAACAAGAGTTGGAAATTGAGAATACGACACTGGAAAACAATGAGAAAGAGTCTGAAGTAGTGGAAAAGTCTATGTCAAAGTCTGAAGCAGTGTAAAAATACATTTATATTTTCACTAATCTTATATAATCATGTATGAAGAAAATAATTACAAACATTCACGTCTAACTCGATGTATAAATCAAATAAAGAAATTCAACAAATAATAGAAGAGAATGTCTATTGATCGTCGCCTGTAGGATTCGAACCTACGCGTCCAAAGGACAATGGCTTAGCAGGCCACCGCGTTAACCACTCCGCCAAAGCGACTTATAATTTAACAATTTGGCAAAATTAATAATAATGTTAAACGTGAAACTACACCGATAGATTTTCCCGATCGGCAATTCAACTTCTTTATAACGGCTGGTATATAACGGATCCTCTTTATAACGAATGGAATTTTTGGAACCGTCATATAGGACACATTCGTTATATACACTGTATAATGAATTTAGTTTATAACGGCCAACAATTCTCAGAACCATGCAGCCGTTATAAAGAGGTTTGACTGTACAGTAAAACCTCTCAAAAGCAGTGTTGTCGCTTGGACGCAAATCTAGCAATTTGCGTCCAAGCGACAACACTGTCTCCAAGTGCATCCCACTTGGGACCATGTAAAAAACAGGCAAAGTGTGCACTTAGAGAGGGTGTGCATTCATAGAGTAAAATATATGTGTCTTATAACTTGGAACCAAACCATACCGTGCATTTGAGAATTTATATAGTGCGTGCATTTATAGATTGTAAAATAAACGATCATCGGTTTTTATATCATTTCAAAGAGCTTTAATTAAACATAAAAAGCAACACATTTTATAAAATGAACCAAGTCGAATATACATGTTTGTGACAAGTGTGTTCAGATCACAATACTCATGATTCAAACAAAACATGTAAATAAACGCGTAGTTTGTAAATCGCGTAAATTTAAAGATACAGATTTTTATGCGGAGAAAGTGAACATTATCTCACAATTGGACAACATGGAAAATAATGTAAATAGCTTGCTGACATTATAATTGTACAAGTGATGAATATAAGTTATGTTAAAGTAATGTGTATTTTTTATTTTTAGGCATTTCAGTAGTTTGAATTGTGTTTAGTTTCGATTATAAATGTTCACAAAGCGATGCAGTTAAAAATAAACAAAAAGATTTCAAATAATGGAATCGATTAAAAATAATAATCAATAAAAAAACAATTACAGATGTTATTTAATTCATTAGATCCTTCATGTTCGTCCCAGCCATTTTGAAGTGGATAGAGTTTATTAGTGAAAATGTTAAATCTTACACCAAAAGACTTAAGTATGAACTTAGAAAATACACATTTGAACACTAGAAACAAGTTCATTACTGGTGAAGTGTCTGAAATTCAAGATGACAAAAATGTGCACACTATTCTCTATTGACTGAACCAAAATCCATATGTATAAAATAATAAACGACGTGATATTTTCAAAAAAGTGTGTACATGTGCCTTTTGTACCGATCTGAAATTAACTTCAAATATATGTGATTTGTTTTACTTTTTACTTTATATGTTAAATTTTTTTTATATTTAATTAATACTTCGTCAGCTCTTCAATATTGTATTAATTCTTGGCATTGAATTGATTGATAACTTTACTGAAAATAGAAACATCGAATTTTGGTCACTCCTTTAAAACAGCTTTGAGCTCATTCACAGTTCTTGAAAAATTTTTATACTTCTGGATATTGTTCTTTAACAGCTTTCAAATGTTTTCTATGGGATTAAGATCAGAAAAATCCACTGGCCAGTTCATAGTCTTGATATTTTTTGTCTCAAACCAAGTGTTATTAACTGGATCATACTGGATATAGTTCAATATTGCATTATTAGACTTAGTAATTTTATAGATCTAATATGATCCAGTCCAGTAATTTCTAGTTATTGAACATAATAAAGTAATAATACTACTTAAATCATTTTATAACTTTATTTGTGATATAAATTGATGTATTATCTTAAAATATCATTTTTTTTATTGATATATATATATATTATATTATAAAAAAATAAAAGATGAATTTCTAGAATTTTAAGATAAATATTTGCATTGATTTTTTTTATATTTATTTATTAAAAAATCTAATAATTCTTTGATTTTTTCTATTAAACATATTCAAACTATTATCAAGTATTAATTACTTTTAAAAATAAATACTAAATATTTAATATTAAATTTTTTTTATATATATTAATATATGGGGGTAAGTCAACAGAAACCAAGCAAATTATATATGTAATACATATATAATTTGCTTGGTTTCTGTTGACTCACCCCCATATTTTTATTTATCAGAATTATTTTTTAAGTTTATATTTGTTTTATTTAAAATTATCTTTTATTAATTATAAATAATTTTGTTCTTATTTTTTATATTAACTAATATATATAATTAATCACTCTTTAAAACAAATAATTTTTTATATTAATATAAAATTATATTTATAATAATTAATAAATTGTATTTGAATTCTAAATTATTTATTATTTTATATATTATATTTTGATAATTTCTTATATAAATATATTTTTTTTGTTAAAATAATATTTTTATAAACTAAATTAAATTGAATTTTTGATTTTTGTTTGAATTTAAGTTTAATTCAAAATTCAAACTTGAATTCAAGAAAAATTCAAAGTTTGAATCTGATAAAAATCAATAAAAATCAGAATAAAATTTGATATTTCTAATTATTTACGAATATTAATATTTTATACTTTAGAATATTCTCTATATTTAACTTGACAAAAATTAATATTTCTTATAAATTTCTAATAATTAAAAATAAATTTACTGATTTATATTTAGATACTTTCAATTATTTTCTATATTTAATTTAATATAAATCTAATAAAAATCTTAATACTATTATTATTTTTGTGAAATTTAAGTTATTTATATATTTCTATTAATTTAAAAGTGGAAAAAACTAAAAACTATTATTAAAGATAGATAACATATGTTCTTGTTATAATGAGCTAAAATAGTATTTAATAATTTTATTAAATTTTACTATAATTTTAAAAGTAATAATTCAAGATAATAAGCCTTTTAAGTAATTGTCTTTCAAGTTAATAACAATAATTTATTATAAGTGATCTATTTTTCAAAATCAAAATTAATAAATTATAAATTTATTAAGTTATTATTAAAATTCTATTAAATAAGAACTTATTAAATTTATCTATTAGAAACTTAACAAATTTAAGTTCTAACAAACTTCTAAATACTTACAATAAACTTTTTAGAAACTTTTAATAAACTTTTAATGAATTTATTTTAAATTATTAACTAAGTTATATTGCTTTTATAATATTTAATGATTTTATAAATGCTATTTTTACTATAATACTATTACTATTTTTGTTGAGATCTAATTGCTTATTTTGCTAATATTATATTATTATTTTTATTATAATTAAATTACTAGTTTAGCTATGATTATATTGCAAGTTTAGCTATAATATTTCTAGTTTTGCTAGAATTATTTTGTTAACTTTGCTATAATTATATTACTTGTTCTACTATTTAATATTAATGAATAAGATCTTTTCTAACTAGTATTCAATAAAATATTAATAAATATTATTCAATAATATTATAATATGAATTATTCAATAAGATATAAAATATTGATTTTTATCAGACTTAAATCAAATTAATATTTTAAAATATCTTTTAAAATAATTTGAAAAATATTTGAAATAAGTTTAAAATAAGCTAGTTAAAAATTATTATCTGATTTATTTTAGACTTATCTTAGATATTTTCCATATTATTTCAAAATATATTTTAAAAAGTGATATAATTATAGTCTATATAGACTATAATTATACCACTTAGTTCGGACTATAACCATCCCAGGTATGTGTCGTGACGACAGAAACGCGACACTGTCGTCAGTGTTGTGATGACAGAAACATGACACCATCGTCAGTGTCGTGATATATATTTTATGACACATTTTTGATGATAGAAATGCGACACTGTCGTCAGTGTCATGATATATATTTTATGACACATTTTTGACGACAGAAATATAACACCATCATCAGTGTCATCTGATTTCCATTGCTAAACCACATGAGTAAAAAATATGCTGATTATGCATTCAATCGCGTATCATTATTTGCGGACCCGATGTGAGGGCTATGCCCGAACTGGGCAAGTAGTGCTCTTAGCTTTCTGGTTAATTCCTCTATGAGGACCAGGTTTGAGGCACGTAGTGCCGAAATAGTATTCATATCCTAGCTTTGTATAATACACTCAAATATTGATCGAGGATGAGGCACGTAGTGCCGAATTGTTAACATATCTGGTAATGCACCAAAGCATCCAATAATGAGACATGTAGTGCCGAATTGTTATCATATCTGGTAAAATACTAAAGCATCCGATGATGAGGCATATAGTGCCAAATTGTTAACATATCTGGTAAAATACTAAAGCATCTGATGATGAGGCACGTAGTGCCAAATTGTTAACTATTATAATGCACTCGAGTATCGACCAAGGATGAGGCACATAGTGCCGAATTGTTAGCAGTTGTTAGCTTTACATAATTCATTCAAATATTACCTGAGAATGAGGCACGTAGTGCCGAATTGCTATCCTCACTTAGTAATACTCAAAGCATTGTAATAAGTATATCTGTTTTTCATTTTTATTTGACATGAGGATGGGATATTGAATATAGAGATGGTATGGTATAATGGATATGGATATAAAAAAAAATCTTAATGCGGTTGGGACAGCAAGATTACAGCAATTTTATTACTTTTGACTTGTTTGAACTACTTCCCAGATAACGAAAAAAATATGTATCCTTGCTGTCCTAAAAATTAAGCCTAATATAATTTTATGTTCTAGAATCCTTTCTTGTATAGCTGTGCTGTTCCAACATATGTTACTAAATATATAATCAATATGTAACCCAGCTAACCCAAAAAATATATAATTGAAATACAACCTTGTTGTTCCAAATCATATAACCAAAATATAATCTTGCCATTCCAAAAATTT